TTTTTTTTTTTTTTTTTTTTTTTTTTTGAGACGGAGTCTCGCTCTGTGGCCTGGGCTGGAGTGCAGTAGCCGGATCTCCGCTCACTGCAAGCTCGGTCTCCCGGGTTTACGCCATTCTCCTGCCTCAGCCTCCCGAGTAGCCGGGACTACAGGCGCCAGCCACCTCGCCTGGCTAGTTTTTCGTATTTTTTAGTAGAGACGGGGTTTCACCGTGTTAGCCAGGATGGTCTCGATCTCCTGACCTCGTGATCCGCCCATCTCGGCCTCCCAAAGTGCTGGGATTACAGGCTTGAGCCACCGTACCCGGCCGCATTATCTATTAATTTCTAATATTTCAGTTTGTGCTAATTAGTTCATTCTCACAAAACTACATTTTTATACTTTCACATTTTTATTTACACTTACAGTTTTGTCTTTCACATTCCAAAACACAGCAGCTCCTTCCCTGATTTAAAAAAATAAAAGAACCAACTAAGATACAGGTAGAATACATTCCTTAGAGTCATATATAAAACCATGTAACTTCTAGAATATATACAGGATGCGATTTTTCAAAATATGATGTACTTAGTAATTTGCTATTATGGTCCTTAGGTGAGCTTGCTACAATAAGAGCAAAAATAAAATTCTTGATAAAACCTGGCCTCCCCAAAATTTATGATTTCTCACATGGTTTGCCAAACAAATAGCCATTATTGTAATACTATATAACTTCACATATGTAGACTCTTTCATACCTGGTTCAATTCTGATCCACAGAAATCAGAATAAGAAAATTTTTTGAGACCTTGTTTTAGCTCTCATTAGGCAGATTCTACTATGGCAAGGAATAAAGGACTATGCCTGTAATAGTTGGAATAAAGAGATGGTGGTTAATTTATGCATCAGATAGTTAAAGGCCTCTATGGAATAATGCTCCCCGTGCTCACAGTGCTTTGAACAGAACTACAGTGACACCACAGGAGGCCCTCTGAATCTGATTTTGGCTTTAACATTATTTAGGGTCTAAAACTACAAATGCACTTGTTTTGATTTCTGAAGTTTGACGTGTTGAAGCTGTTTCAGGTAGTAAATAAAAACAGTAGTTATGGCTCAGGGTCACTGCACTGGAGGAAGGAAAGGAGGAAATAAAAGAAAAGTAAAAATATTAACGACCCCACGTTATTCTTTAAACATTTCTTAAGTATTTGGTATATGTGTGGGTTCGTGCTTAGTATTTGTGACAGAAAGGTCAAGTATGATTTCATTCCTATCCTCAACCTAGAAAAGACTGGGGCTGACACTTAGGCCACCAATTACAACAGTGTGTGATCAGTGCTACACAAGTATGCAGAGTATACCGTGGGATGTACACCAGAGGGACCCCTTTGCTAAAGGACTAGCAGAGGTAGCCAAATGAGAAAACAAGAGGAGACAACACAGCAGAGGAGACACAGGCTCAGAGAGGAGGCAGGAGGGAGCAGAGCAGCATCTCAGAATAAACAGCCAGCAGCTGCATGGCTGCAGATGTGGTCAAGTAGTGGACAACCAGGTTGAAGAGGCAAGCAGGGGCCAATACAGAAGGGAACTTTATGTAGTGATCGAGAACTTGTTCATAATCCATGAAAATTTAGGCAGGAGAGTGTAATGGTCAGAAATGGCCACTGAAGAATGACCCTGCTTACAATAGACAGACTGGTGCTGGGTGAGCAGGCAGGCAGGGAGACAGTAAGTCAGCTGTTACAACAGGCAGGGATAAAGCCCTTTCTGAATACGGATTTGAGAGGTATTTCAAGCCACAGCCAAAGTATCAGTTCAGAGAATCTCTTCCAGGCAGAAGAGAGGTCTGGTGAATTGCGTATTCCTCCATCTAGAGGAATGCACTGCACTGTGCAATATGGTACTCAGAGGCCACATGTGGCTACTGAGCACTTGAAATATGCCTGGTGCAAACTGAGATGTGCTGTAAGTATAAGTGTAAAGTACACCGCAAAATTGAAAGATTTAGTATAAAGAGTGAAAAAATATCATTATTAATTACATGTTGAAATGATAATATTTTAGATATGCTGGGTTGAATAAAATATATTGTTAAAATTAATTTCAAGAAATATATTATTTGTGTTGTTCAAAATTAATTTTATCTTTTTAAAAATATTTAAAATGTAGTTACTGGAAAATGTATCATTACATATGAGGCTTGCATTATATTTCTTTTTCTTTTCTCTTTTTTTTTTTTTTATGGCAGAGTCTCACTCTGTCATCAGGCTGGAGTGCAATGGCACGATCTCAGCTCACCACAACCTCTGCCTCCTGAGTTCAAGTGATTCTCCTGCCTCAGCCTCCTGAGTAGCTGGGATTACAGGCACCCTCCACCATGCCCAGCTAATTTTTTGTATTTTTAGTAAAGACAGGGTTTCACCATGTTGGCCAGGCTGGTCTCGAACTCCTGACCCTGTGATCCGCCCGCCTCAGCCTCCCAAAGTGCTGGGATTATAGGCATGAGCCACCACACCCGGCCAAGGCTTGCATTATATTTCTACTGGACAGTGCTGATCTAGAGTCCCTCAGAAATCTAAATTCCTCACTCAGAACAACAGGGATGCTATTATTCTACTTGAATTAAATGCTGGAATCTTGATTATCTCTAAAGATGGGGTCAACAGGAAGGTAGGCATTGAAAGGAAAAAAGAACTTCCACTTATAATCAGCTGTAAGGATTATGTCCACAAAAACTTAACTTTGGATTCCTACAGATGTTCCGTGTGTTTCTGTTCTGTCACGTATTAGTCTCATGACTATGGGTAATTCACTTAATCCCTATGACCCTCAGTTTCCTCAGGTGCAAAATAGCAGTAACAGACCTTCATCGAGTGTGGTGAGGATAAATGAGATTATTTCACACGGTTCTATCATTATTATCATTCCCAGGCAGCTACTGTGGAATATTTAGTATTGAGTCAGCCTTTAGATAAAAGGAGTAAGTGTGTATGTGAGTCTCCTAGTCTAAAACCTCTCGAGAGGTAAGCTAAAACTTTAAAGAGCTACCAAAGGGGAAGGGAGAAAAGAAAGAAAATGTCAAGAAGAGACAGCAGGGAGGTAGCGGGAATTTCCCTGGGGCAGGAGTCTGATAAGGGGCACTAAACATGAATAGGAATTTGGCTGCTTTCCAGAAATGTAGTCCATGAAAATCCGTATGTACAAAGAAAGACACCCCGGGGAAGATCATTCACTTGTTTGAAAAATTCTTTACTTTATAAGACGGTTTACCAGAGAATTCCTAAAAGTGACAAACTCTCCTAGATTAAATAAGAATTAAGTGATAAATTTAAATCACAAATACAATTTGAACACATTTACTGTTAAGAAAGGTATGCCTGCACTTTTAAAGACCACAATTACTTGACCTAAACCCATCATCACCTAATGGGGCTTCTTTCCTGTCTTACCTGAAGAAGAATATCGTTCCAGGATCACCTTCTTTTGCAGAATTTTCCACACCCATCACCAAAATATTTGCTGCATCTGTGATTTAAAATAAATGAACAAAAAAGCGATGTCAAGGTAACACAAGGTGTAAGAGTCACCTATAAACACTCTAATAAAGTACTTAAGATCATTTCTTTATATACCACGGAGTGCTCTGTAACCCAATCACCATCTTTCTACTAAGGCCTCTGAAAGGATTTAATATATAAAAATGCAACTATGACCACGGAAAAAATGATCAGCAATTACTTTTATAAAACATTCAACAACCTGTGATATTATTATTAGAGCTCATTCATGCCCATTTTGATTCAATAATCACTAGTCCAGATAATTATTAAAGTCTTAGGTTCGACATAACTGTCAAGAATTAGACTTCTACGAAATTAAAAATAAAATGTAAAGACGTATTAATATATTCTCTTCCTTTAAATACTATTTCATTAATAATGCAATTTTAGTATTTGCAAACTACTCCTTTTGCTGAATTTTAAAGTATAAAGAGTAGGGCAATAGAAAATACACAGAAATAAACACACTGATCATTTAAAAACATACGTGATTTCAAGGTTAATCACTGCAGGGGCTACCACTGCAGCCACCTGCAACTATTAAAAAAAATTTTTTTCTTTTTTTTGAGACAGGGTCTTGCTCTGTCTCCCAGGCTAAAGTGCAGTGCCATGATCTCAGCTCAATGCAACCTCAACCTCCTGGACTCAAGGGACTCCCCCAACCTCAGCCTCCCAAGTAGCTTGGACTACAGGCATGCGCCACTGCACCCGGCTAAGTTTTTGTTCATGTTTTGTAGAGATGAGGTCTCACTGTGTTGCCCAGGCTGGTCTTGAACTCCTGAGCTCAAGCCATCTTCCTGCCTTGGCCTCCCAAAGTGCATTACAGGCATGAGCCATGGGGCCTGGCCTAAGTATTGTTAAACATATACTAATATACCAATATTCATCATAAGAAGCTGCTTTACATATTAGTATATTGATATTTATCATAAGCATATATTCCATAATATAAATTACAACCAATGTTAATCAATTAATAAATATACTCTTAATTTGCAAAAGGTTGTATGTCTTAATGAAATTAACATAAAATTAGGATCCTCAAAGCTTCAGATTTCTGGTAAAGGTTGGGTGATGGGCAATTCAGACAGAGACCAAAATTATTATTATTATTTTTTGTAAATTGTTAATTACTACATCCTACATAGGACAGGGTTTGCCTATGCAGCCAAAAGCAAAATAAAATTGACTGAAACCACCCAGGGCAGTGAAGCCCCCAATTTTGTGAAGCACAGACCACACAGCTGGCCAGCCTTCAGCGTCAGCCAATACCTCCAGGCAAATTTTCATCCCAAGGGGCTCTAGACATAGCTCTGTCTTTCTAAGTCAACTATGCTTGTTTTTGTCACCTAATCACAAACGGTCTGTTTGGATTATCACAATGATATTTCAACTATCTTCTATGAGATTGACTCTTAAGAATTTCCTCTGTTATAGGAAGACTTTCAACCTATTTTTGCTACTCTGAGGTAAATTAATAAATGTTCTGGGTATTGGGCTATCCTGAGTTTCACTGTAAAAGTTTATTCATCAAAATGTTCTAAGTAACTTATTTATTTTTGAGACAGAGTCTTGCTCTGTCACTCAGGCTGGAGTGCAGTGGCATGATCTTGGCTCACTGCAAACTCCGCCTCCCAGGTTCAAGTGATTCTCCTGCCTCAGCCTCCTGAGTAGTTGGGATTACAGGCATATACCACCATGCCCAGCTAATTTTTGTATTTTTAGTACAGGTGTGGTTTCACCATGTTGGCCAGGCTGGTCTCAAACTCCTGACCTCAGGTGATCTGCCTGTCTCAGCCTCCCAGAGTGCAGGATTACAGGTATGAGCCATCATGCCTGGCCTATTTATTTGTTTTTTGAGACAGAGTCTCACTCTGTCATCCAGGTTGGAGCACAGTGGCATGATCTCAGCTCCCTACAACCTCCACCTTCCAGATTCAAGCAATTCTTGTGTCTCAGTCTCCGAGTAGCTGGGACTACAGGCTCATGCCACTGTACCTGGCTAATTTTTGTATTTTTAGTAGAGATGGGGGTTTTGCCATGTTGGCCAGGCTGGTCTCGAACTCCTGACTTCAAGTGATCTACCTGCCTCAGCCTCCCAAAATGCTGGGATTACAGGCCTGAGCCACCATGCCTGGCCTAAATTATTTTTAGTTAATGTAAAGCAAGCCATTTCTCAAGAATCCTTCCTGATATCACCATAAAAATCCTAATTAAGTTCATTTTAATTTTCTTCTTTTTCATTTTTATCTTTTAACTAGTTGTTTTATTATTATTTGTATTTTTAGTAGAGACAGGCGTTTTTCCATGTTGGTCAGGTTGGTCTCGAACTCCCGACCTCAGGTGATCTGCCCGCCTTGGCCTCCCAAAGTGCCGGGATTACAGGTGTGAGCCACTGCACCTGCTAACTAATTGTTTTAAAGTATTAGATTGAGCTGGTAAATTTTTTTTAAAGGCTCTCCCCATGTCTATCAACTTCATGGTTCTTCTATAAGACTAAAATAACGGGCTGGGTGCCGTGGCTCCAACCTGTAATCTCAGCACTTTGGGAGGCCAAGGTAGGAGGATCAGATGAGGTTGGGAGTTCGAGGCCAGCCTGACCAACATGGAGAAACCCCGTCTCTGCTAAAAATACAAAAATTAGCCAGGTGTGGTGGTGCATACCTGTAATCCCAGCTACTCTGGAGCTGAGGCAGGAGAATTGCTTGAACCCATGAGGCACAAGTTGTAGCGAGCCGAGATCGCGCCATTGCAGGGCAACAACAGCGAATCTCTGTCTCAAAAAACAAAAAAAAAACCATACACACAGACACACACAAACTAAAATAACTTCTTAATGTGCTAGAAATGAAGTAGTATGACCTCTGACCACCTCAAGTAATAATGATCCTATAAATAATGCTTAATAAATCATACTGATTTTAATGAGTTCTCTGTACATTTTCATTTCTTTGTCATCTGTATAAAGAAATTCAACACCCACTTTTATGATACAATCCTTTCAAAAGAAAATGAATTGCAAACAAATACATACTTAAGATAGTATCATAGGAAAATTATCCAATTCATTTTAATATACTTGGCCCCAGGTTCAAGAAGAAGTACCTCTAGGCAAGTTTGTTACTTCAACATATCCGTGGGAGGCCAGATCTTGAGACAGATTTCCCAGATGATACTCATCTGCTGTTGCAAATGCTGTGCAGTGCATTAGGTCCTGTTCCAGGGAGATGAGCACAACATGGGTTACCAAGAGGCTGAAGCATCTGTGATGGCTGCTGAGCACCCTATGGGACTCCATTCTGCAAAGCTAGAACTCCAGAGTTTTCTTCAAACATCTCCAAGGGCGATACAAAGGATGAGATGAAGATGAAGAGAACCAAGTTACTGGGAGACAAATTTCAGTTCAATCTTCAAAAGCACTTGCTCCCTCCCACCAGGCAAAAAGTTGTAATAGGTTATTATGAAAGGCAAGCCACTCTCAACTGGCAGTGTCTCAAGCACAAACTGAATACAAAATAGAGATGATTAAGGCATCACATGGGTGACTGGATGGAATGATAGTTAAGTCTCTCCAACCCTGAGTTTCCACGACTCTTTTTCAAAGCAACATTGGTATTTGAGGTCATTTCCTAATTTGTAACTACTCTTGTACAGCAGATTCCTTTAAATCGCCAAAGGAATTACAGTATTTTTACACTAGTTAACATTAAACAAAAAGGTCTGTACATCTGAGCATGTGTCTTGGTTTGGTTAGTACTTTGGTTCACGCCTCATCTTGCCTGTGTACACATGAGGAAAGATGGTAAGAACTATGGCTCAGTGCTGTGTTTTTTCAAAGTGTAGGTCACAACACATTAGTGAGTTCTGATATCAGTTTGGTTGGCCCAAAACAACTTTTTAATAAAACTAAATAGAAAAATATTACAGCACATTATTCACAGGAAATGTTATTTTATGAAGTTTTCTGTCACTTATATGTATGTATCTACTCTAGGTCGCTATGTATGTAAAATGTTAAATATATTTCTATGAGATGTGGTCGATAAAGTTTGAAAGCTATTGGCATAAGAGTTAACATTTTAGGCACATAAGTTGGTTACAATTTTAAAAGAATATCAGAATAACAATAATGCTTACTTTATGGGGTTGCTGTAAAGTTTAAGTAAGCTAATAAGCATAAACTGCTCAGCACTGCGGCTAACACAAGTGTTCAACGGTTGTTAGATTCTAGTTGGCCAAAAGAAGTTTATGAGTCACTAAATCAACATTTATTCTTAGGACTTACTCATCTCAGCTCCCCAATTCTTTTCCATTCTGTATATTCCCAGTATGAAATTCTAGAGAAGTGTATATTAATTCATTCCTTCCTCCCACCTACATCCCGCAACTCCTGGCTCTTTCTCATGAAATGACCTGACCCCATTTGCTCTTCCTCAATCTGTTCCACAGCTCTGATGTGTGGTTTAAAGGTAAAAGAATAACAGAGAACCTGAGGATCCATGCAAACTGAAAAATCCAAAATCAATAAAGTATCTACTCATAAGCAAAATGAGATGAATTCAATTAGAAAAAAATAAAAGTCAGACAAGCTGAAATTACTGGGGAATGTGGGGATAAATGGATGTAGTACCCTGATTATGAGCAGAAAACTGCTAATTCCTTCCAAATTAGCTAATTCCCATAGTCACATATGAAAGTAGGAACACGGGGATATAAAATGTATCAGGAGTTACCAGAGTACAGGGAACAGGCATATGCTTGAGGTTTAGACCTGTGAGCACTAGTTCTTTTTAAGGCTTCACGGAGTTAAAAAGAGCTGACGTGCTATGTCTGTAGAGCTGAAGCTAGCTGAAAGAAAGGAATCCTAGCAAAGGACATCAGGCGAGACATGGGGCAGGCGCCACACTCTGCAAGACCTGACAGATTCACTCAAGTTTGCTAGGTGAAATCACAGTATGTTAGGTTGGATGTCAGAATTACTTCTGTGATGGCTAGAGCTCATGTGCTTAGTTTGGGCTGAAGTGGGAAGAGCAAGAGGCAGAAAAAGGAGATAAGAAGGTCATAAGGTAGTCCACTGAAAGATCTTCCTATAGCTGTACTGAAAATGGTAGAGGCTGTCTCTTTCGCTAGAATCAGAGTTGTAAACTGGCAGCTTGGAGAACCATCCAACTCAAGAGCTGACCTACATCACGTTTCTAAAATTCGAATTGACTTGTCAACAATAAACTGAGAGATTTCACACAAAATCCAGATTTCCATCATCTTCTGACCGAGTGGAAGATCTGGCAGTAATGGACTAGGATACAGCAGGGGGTCCCAGGGTCTCCAGCCCACACTGTCCCTGCCTCTCCCTGTTGTCTCACGTCTGCTTCTCCATCATGTGTTATTGGCCAAGCCCATCTGCGCTAAGAACGTGTACTACTTTTTTTTCCCCCCCAAAAAATATTCTTGGCCAGGCGCAATGACTCACGTCTGTAATCCCAGAACTTTGGGAGGCTGAGGCGGGTGGATCACTTGAGGTCAGGAGTTCGAGACCAACCTGGTCAACATGGTGAAACCCTGGCTCTACTAAAAATACAAAAATCCAGCCGGATGTGGTGGCTGGCACCTGTAATCCCAGCTACTCAGGAGGCTGAGGCAAGAGAATCCCTTGAATCCAGGAGGCAGAGGTTGCAGTAAGCCAAAATTGTGCCACTGCACTCCAGCCTGGGAGACACAGCAAGATTCCGTCTCAAACAAAAACAAAAACAAAACTTTATGTTCCTTTATTGGAGCAAGATGCCAGATTGATATACAGTGATGTATTTATTAAACAGAGACCTATGCAGAAATTACATACTCTCTATGTAGATAGGTTGTTATACTTTGCCTATTGATGGAATAGGTCCATTTATCAAGTTTTATACATCAGAAAGCTTTGACTTTCACCAGGCTCTCCATTAATTCACCTCTGAAAAAGTGGCATTCAATTTCAGCTACTATATTTTACAGCATAAAAAGCTTATGCATTAGAGTGCTTCTCTGCAAAATGGCATGTTGCAGACAGAGCCGAGTCCATTATCCCACCCGGATTTACATAGTCACATTTGAGGGCTTTACACCAGAGAGCCAGGACAAAGTTACTCCTAACCAACACAGACTTCTTACTCTGAGAGTCCAGAGAGCCCGGACAAAGTTACTCCTAACCAACACAGACTTCTTACTCTCAGAGTCTATTTTCTTGGCCACATTTTATAATGCCAATGAAGATGTACCAGCAAGCATCCCATAATACAGCTTGGCATTAGAGTACAAGGTCTGTTTGATGGTGGTGGTAGGCACTACTATTTTACTCTATTTTTTTTTTTTTTTTTGAGACGGAGTCTTCCTCTGTTGCCCAGGCGGGAGTGCCAGTGGTGCAATCTTAGCTCACTGCAACCTCCACCTCCTGGATTCAAGCGATTACCCTGCCTCAGCCTCCCAAGAAGCTGGGACTGCAGGCATGCACCACCACACCTGGCTAATTTTGTATTTTTAGTAGAGATGGGGTTACGCTATGTTGGCCAGGCTAGTCTCAAACTCCTGACCTCTGGTGATCTGCCCAACCCGGCCTCCCAAAGTGCTGGGATTACAGGCGTGAGCCACCATGCCCAGTCAGGCACTATTATTTTAAATCAAGGTAAAAGGCTAGTTTTAAAAAATGCCACTTGGAGATAAAAATAAAGGGCACAACATATTCAGAACTGAGTTTTGGGCAATCTGGTATCCCAAATTATGTGAATATTCAGACACTAACAGCAAATTGAGAACGTGTACTATTTTCAACTCTCAAGGACGGGACAAGGCAAGTCAATCACTATTTTTATGAGAAAATATATTCTAAGCTCCAAATAGATTATGAATAAATCTTTAAACACAATCTGTTTTCACTTAGCCATCCTAAGCATCTTTGTCGTAGGTTTTCCAGACTGTCAACCATCCCCTTTCCTTCTCTCGGGATCTCCCATTTAGTTTGGCTGAAGGTTCTATCCATCCAATGTCACTCAGCTTATATAGTTTGCCACACTACTTTCTGTATTCTCCTTAAACTTCTTAGCTCTCGAGTCTTAGTTGTGTGCTTCTTCTATTAATAGATGAACCTGACGTTTTAGACATTTTGTTTTGGTTTTATTTTCTTAGCTTTTTTTATTTTAGCCTATTTGGTAAAAGGAAAGAACCATAGAATGTCTTGTCTGCTTTTTTTCTTTTTTATTAAAGATGCTATTGTTTTCTGAGCAGCTTTCATTTTTATACATCTTTCTCTAGATTTTTATAGTGAATCCTTATTAAGCATTAGCTACATATACATGTAAAGCATATTTTGGATTTCAGGATGGGGAGCTACAACTTGCTCTTAAATAAATGTGTCAAACCAACCTATAATACTTACAAGATTTAGGGCTTCTCTATTTCAAAATGTTTTTAAAAACCCAAAAAACAAAACCCCAAAACCACAGTATTTTAGTATGTTTTGTTTTTCTGGTCACAGAAGACACGTTCCAGCAGATGGGGCTAGAAATCTACATATGATTCTTGTTTTAGAAGCATCACATGCTCTGATCAGAACATTTTTTAAAAAATTGTACTTTCATTTACACTGTATTACTGAAGAAAATTGGTGTATTACAGCAATGCTGCTTCTATAGTGATTTGGTCTTTGTCCTTGGTTCCCAGTACAGACTCCTAAAACTCCTGTAATTTTCTAAGTGACAGAGGCATTTTTGGTTGTAGTATTTGCTCTGTGCCTTTAGTTACTAACACAGAGCTTCTAAATCCCTTGGAATTTCATGAGTGATGGGAACATCTTTTGTTTTAATGAGGTGACTCCCAGTGTTCTGGACAGCTTCAGGATGGGGAGTGGTTACCAGAAAGACCAAATTTTGATTAGAAGCTTAGAACTTTCAACCCCACCCTTAACCTCTAGTGAATGGAGAGGCGCTGGAGATTGAGTTAATCATCAATCATGGTTTACACAATGAAACCTCCATAAAAACACCCGAACAACGGGGTCTGGAGAACTCCTGCGTTGATCAATGCATCCATGTGCCGGGAGGGTGGCACGGCCCAATTCCACAAGGAACAGAAGCTCCTGAGTTCCAGGCCCTTCTAAACTTCACCCTGTGCACCTCTACATCTGGCTGTTATTTTGTATACTCTATAAAAAACCAGTAAACGTAAATAAAGTGATTCCCTGAGTTCTGTGGGTCATTCTGGCAAATCATCAAACCTGAAGAGGGGGTGGTGGTCATAGAGCTGGTTGGTCAGAAGCACAGGTGTCAACCGGGAGGGCAGCCTTGTGGGGCCAAGCTTAATTAACTGGGGTCTGCACTAACTCTGGCTAGTGCTGGAATTGAACTGAATTGCAGGACACTTTGTTAGTGTCCGGTGAATTGGAGAACTGGCTGGGAGGAGGAGGAAAAGGCTCCCATATATTTGATGTCAGAAGTACTGTGAGTAGATAGATCATATTAAGGAAAAATGCCTTTTCTCCTGCAATGTACTCATTGGAGATGAAAGCTATAAAAACACAGATACATTTTATGTTACCAGTATTATGCTTTATCTTTTAAGTTTTTTGACTACAATCTATAAGAAATCATTATACATAGTACATATACACATCTACGCTCACACACCAATAATTGCCACAATAGCTTCACAAACCAGTATTTACCTTTATCATGAGCAATGTATTCTGTTATTTTCTATTTCATTTTTCAAAAAACATGGTTAATAATCCACTAGTGATTCCGTAACACACTGTGCTATCAGCCTGAAAACATTCTCCCTGTTATCAGGCTCCACGCCACTCAGACCTGCCATTGCCATCCTCTGGTGTTCTCTTCAAAGACTGGACATTAATAAGAAGTGCTGCTATTATTGTTTTCTCGTTTGTTTAGTGGGTTTTTAGTTACTAACACAGAGCTTCTAAACCCCTTGGAATTTCACGAGTGATGGGAACATCTTTTGTTTCAATGAGATGACTGTTTAGTGGGTCTACCTCAGTCGCCCAGGCTGGATGGAGTGAGGTGCAATCATGACTCACTTTAGCCTGGAACCCCCAGGCTCAAGCGAACCTCCCACCTCAGCCTCTTGAGTAGCTAGGACTACAGGTGTGCACCACCAAGCCCAGCTAATTTTTTTTTTTTTTTTAAAGTCTTTTAGAAATGGGAGTCTTGCTATGTTGCCAGGCTGGTCTTCAACTCCTGGCCTCAAGTGGTCTTCCTGCATCAGCCTCCCAAAGCACTGGAATTATAGGCATAAGCCACAGGACCCACTATTGCTTTTAGGAATTGTAAGCCAAAGGGATGTGGGTTGAATATCTCAGATGATGATCTCTGAAAATGAGACCAGGTAAAGATTTAATTTGAACAGAGAGGGTGACTGAAACCATTCGGCCAACTCCAGATGCACGTTGTTCTGCAGAGCTCAAAAGAAGAGCTCAGTGCACCTATGGGAACAAAACAAAGTCCACATGCTTTTGACACAAAGCAGAGGCTTTTCCTCATCTCAGTCAAGAGTGGTATAAAGGGTTTACCACTTTGATGGTATAAAGGACATAAAGGGTTTACTACTTTGATCGTATAAAGGGTTTACCACTATGATGGCCGTATGAAAATGGAGTGGCCCTCAATTTGTGGCAAATGAAAGTCAGGCTTCGGTCCTGGGGGCATATTACCTAGTCATGCCAAGACTGCTTTCTCTATGAAAAATAAAATCTTCAAAAAATGGTGTTCCAAAATTACACTATCTCAGATCACTTTAGAAACATATGATTTTCTTCTTTTTTCTGAGACAGAGCCTCACTCTGTCACCCAGGCTAGAATGCAGTGGCATGATCTTGGCTCACTGCAACCTCCGCCTCCTGGATTCAAGAGATCCTCCTGCCTCAGCCTCCCGAGCAGCTGGGATTACAAGTGTGCACCACCACCATGCCTGGCTACTTTCTGTATTTTTGTAGAGACAGGGTTTCACCATGTTGTCCAGGCTGGTCTCAAACTCCTGACCTCAAGTGATCCACCTGCCTTGGTCTCCCAAAATGTTGGGATTACAGGTGTGAGCCACCGTCCAGCCTGAAACATCTGATTTTCTATTATATTCCTGTGCTTTCAGAAAGACAGTATATGGCTTGTTTTTGCCAAACTCCAACTGAAGTCATTGTCTATCGTGTTACACAATGTCTCCTATAACAGAATCCATGAAATAACTCCTTCATTTCAGTGTTGGAAAAAGTTATTTCTCTGAAGATATTTTTATGTTTTTACTCTGCCCTCTCCCACAATAAAAAACAACAAACAGTAAATCCCAGGAGGATTTCCTCTTTTAATTACCGGGCTTCTCAAAACAAAATGTTCAACTAAATTATTCATTTCAGGTACTTCATAACATTTCTCTGTTCATGTCAACTATTTGTTCTAATATGCGAAAGTATTTATTATCTCATTTGAAACTATGTTGAATGTTGAAATCTACTTCAAATTCTTTCCTGGAAGGAAGTAGAAAAAAAAAAAACCTAAAGAAAAATAAGATACGGTATTTAGGAAAACTGCTTGCAAGTCTAAGGATGGCCCAAAGAAATAGCCTAGGGACATCTCTGACTGTATCAGCTTCTTCCTAAGAAACCCGACGCACTGTGCTGCTAGATGTTACAAATGAACAGAACTGAGTTTTCTCTTTTTTGGATCTGCCATGAATTCAGGTTTTTACACTTAATGTCATCTCGGACACTTAAATACTGAATTTCCCAGGTTACCCCAAAGCTCCAGCAAAAGGAAAGGTGGAGCAGTAGCTGCACAACACTCCATCCTTCACATCCTGGGTTCAGAGAAACCACACAAGAATTGAAAGCATTCCAGAATTCAACACAAAAACCATTCATTAATTCCTAGCTTCCGAATCAGAGGATGAGTAAAGGCATGTATGTATACCTTTCCAAGGGGTGTCAGCTACACAGTAACAAAAACACGGCCCAAATTAAACAGGCTCAGGGGCTACTTTTCAGAATCAAGACTTGAAGACAGACATTCTAACCTGTTTTCTGATAGATTCAGAAGTCTTCATCAAGTTTAAAGTATCTTTAATGTTGATGACTATCGGCATTAAAGATCCTCTTGCCTCTTTTCAATCCTTTCCCATTTAATAAACATGTAAGTACAACACACAGTTCTAGGTATTATGCAAGACACAAAGGTTACTAAGGTTACTTGATCTTGACCCTTAACTTGTTATTGAAGAAGAAATGCAAATTGTAGCAGAAAAATTCCCAGAAACTCCTTAAGGATGAATTAAAACAATAGCCCCTTAAACCTTAAGAGGATAAAAAAACAAGGCCCTCCTCCCCTGCTGCTTTTGGAAGCTACCTTACCATGTCATTTCACCGACCCATGCAACTGCCACAGCCTAATAAAGGCTTATCTGTCTGCAGTTACATTTTTTTTTTAATTTGATGAAGAATTTCTAGTTTGATTTAATGGTTTTTTTTTAAATTTTTTTTACAGTCCCATTCTTAGACTGGACTTAATATTGGTCCTCTTTTTCAATTTCCTTAGACCAAAAACCAAATCTTTTATAAACTATATTGTCATGTTTTATTGTCCGTATTTTGTTTTTATATGTATCATTAATTGTTAAAAATTAAGATTTTGAATCCCTTTGGATATTTATTAGGCTTCAAAGATCTTGATGAGGAAGTCTGAGTGACTGCCAGTTCTCTCACATTGGTGGTAAGGCTGGGGTGCAGCGCACACTGGTTTAGCGTGAGCAACGATCACTAAGCACAAGAGCCACGGCCACCCCTACTTTACCTCATTCACAGACAAAACTGGAAGGTTGGTCCTGGATGGCTGTCTGGTCCTGGATGCTTTTAGCGGTCTCTTGATCTGTGGGAAGTCTTGTTTTGGAACAAATGTTTCCGTTGATATAGATGAGAAATGCCTCTTTAATATTTTTATAAACCATTTAGAACCCAATAGATGTGGTTTGTGGGTCACTCTCCTGTGAGTACCAAAGGATTTCATGGTTGGAAGGTGTGCCTTTTCATCTTGGCAACGAGCAGCATTTAATGGAGAGAGCAGGCTTGTATTGGACTTTTTTTGGTTCATTTCCAGGATCTGAGACTTATTCAAACCACCAGCTGTTTTATCAGGAAGGAACAAATTCAAGTTTTGACATACTGTCAGTGTGCTGCATGTTGTATTTTCAAATTCCTTAAGTGGTTTTAACATTAGATGACTGATTCTTCGGCACTGATGTGCTTTTGATAATATACGATGAGATCCGGCCACGGCTCTGAGGAGTGTGGCTGGCATTACCACGTCCCAAGCTAAAAGAAAAAGAATTCAAAGTTCAAGTTTTAAAATTAACACTTAAAACATATATAATATTTCCCTAGGTAATAGGCATATTTCTGTAAAAAAAATTGTAAAACAGATACATCCTAATTCTAGCAAAAGAGCAAGGTTAAAAAAGTAAGTACAGTGTTTCTGCCACTTTGCCTTTATCAACATTTGGCCTTCTTCCTGGAAGATTACAAGATTATAAAGCTACTGACATAACAAGAACCTTAAAAAAAATAGTGATGGGACCACTTCATTTACTTCATTAGCATATCAAGTATATAAAAATCTGTACTGGCCAGGCACTGTAGCTCACACTTGTAATCCCAGCACACTGGGAGATTGAGGCAGGTGGATTGCTTGAGTCCAAGAGTTTCAGACCAGCTGGGGCAACACGGCGAAACATTCTCTCTACAAAAATGACAAAAATTTAAAAATGAGCTGGGTGTGATGGCAGCTCATGCCTGTAGTCCCAGCTACTCACAGGCTGAGGTGGGAGGATCACTTGAGCCCAGGAGACCGAGGCTGCAGTGAGTCATGATTGTACCACTGCACTCCAGCCTTTTTTCTGCCTCAGGGGAAAAAAAAAAGAATCAGGAAAGGCTCCCAGAAAGATCTAAGCTGATTCTAGTAGGGGAAGGTGCTTTTCAGCTTGGGGCTGGGCATGGGAGTGCATGAGGTACGTCAGATACACACATGAACATTCCAGACAAGGCAAACAGAATTTCCCCCTTATTTACAGTACGAAATGTGTGATTTTAAAGTTAGCCTATAGTAGGCCACACACAGTGGCTCATGCCGGTAATCCCAGCAGTCTGGGAGGCTAAAAGGGTGGGGGCGACATCTCTTGAGGCCAGGAGTTCAAAACCAGCCTGGCCAACATGGCGAAAACCCATCTCTACTAAAAATACAAAAAAAATCAGCCAGGCATGATGGTGCATGCCTTTAATCCCAGCTACTCAGGTGGCTGAGATACAGAATCGCTCGAACCAGGGAGGCAGAGGTTGCAGTGAGCCAGGATCGCCTCACTGCACTCCAGCCTGGGCAACAGAATGAGACTCTGTCTCAAAACAAGACAAAAAAAAAAGTTAGACCATAGTAATCAATAATTCTTTTTTTAAAAAATAACACGTTAGGTGCTAGAGATATATGAATCAATGATCTCAGAATTCAAAGTCTAGCAGAGGGAAATGAATGAGATGCACAAATTGCTCTAGTCCAGAGAAAGGAGCATGTGAAGAGTGTGGCATTGTCACAGAGGTGACATTTGAACCAAGTCTTGAAAGGGCAGAAGGATCAGCAAGTCAAACACCTCAGATATGGAGTCCTATCTATCTCCCTGTCTCAGGGGAGGTAGGAGTGAGCTGCAGAAGGTGAGGACCAAAAAAGAGACGGTGACCAGATCACCAAAGGATCTATAAAGTCATCCCAAAGAGTTTCTACAGGTGGGGAGAAAGCTGAGCTTCTAACTCTGAGAGTCACATAGTCAAATGTATGTTCCTGAAACAACTTTTTGGTGATGATGTGCAGGAGGAAACGAGAGAGACTCTAACATCACTCTGAGCACTTTCTACATGCCAAGTGCTCAGCCTCGCCTCATAATGATCCCATTTCCCTGATTAGGAAACTGAGGTTTAAAGAGGCTAAGTGCTCACCATTAAGAAGCTGCAGAGATGTAATTAACGTAAAACCCAGGCTTTCCCAATTCCAAAGTCAACACTCTTACCCACTACCTTTTATTTATTTATTACCTCTCTCCAGGATAAGGACAAAGATGATTCACGGTGATATTTAGGAGGTAGAACCTGCTGCTTTCAAAATCTCTTCAAAAGCCGGTATTCTGTGTTTCATTCTAGTCTAGTTGGCTACTACAGTTCACCTTTGATTAGTACTCTTCCATGCCAGTTGAACCACTTAATTTTGAAGAACCGAACTATAAAATACTGTAGAAATGTGTCCACAGTCCTGGATTCTTTCATTATCTTTGAGGAAATTCTTTTTTTTTTTTTTTCTTGAGATGGGAGTCTCGCTCTGTCACTCAGGCTGGAGTGCAGTGGTGCCACCTCAGCACACTGCAACCTCCACCTCCCAGGTTCATGTGATTATCCTGCCTCAGCCTCCTGAGTAGCTGGGATTACAGGTGTGCGCCACCAAGCCCAGCTAGTTTTTGTATTTTTATATATATATATATTTATATTTATATTTATATTTAGCAGAGCCGGGGTTTCACTATGTTGGTCAGGCTGGTCTCCAACTCCTGACCTCAAATGGTCCGCCTGCCTTGGACTCCCAAAGTGCTGGGATTACAGGCGTGAGCCACTGCACCTGGCCTCTTTGAATAAATTATTTACCTCAAAACGCTATTGACTACCTTAATATGGAGGCTACATGAAGCACTATTACAATGAACGTAAAAGTTACAGGTAATATTATTGTTGCAGTAATTTTCAATGGTTTCTATATCCATGCTGATCAGTGGTGGGGATGATTCTTCCAAAACCCTGGCCCTGAGTTCCCTAATCTTCCTTCCTGAATGGTCCTGTTTTTCACTTAACCTCAGCCACTCATGCCCATGGTCATTACCCTGTAACCTGTAAAGTAGCCACTAGACAACCCACATCGCTATTGAGCCCTTGAATTCTGGCTAGTATAAATTGAGCCTCAATTTTTTAATAAGTAAAATATCTCAACTCTTCTATCAATTATTTGTTGAAATAATATGTCTGGGTATATTGACCTAAATAAAATGCATTATTCAAATAAATTTTAGCTATTCTTTTTTCTTTTTTGATACAAAGTTTCGCTCTTGTTGCCCAGGCTGGAGTGCAATGGCGGGATCTTGGCTCACTGCAACCTCCGCCTCCCCCGTTCAAGCGATTCTCCTGCCTCAGCCTCCCGAGTAGCTGGGATTACAGGTGCCTGCCACCATGCCTAGTTAATTTTTTGTATTTTTAGTAGAGACGGGGTTTCATCATGTTGGCCAGGCTGCTCTTGAAATCCTGACCTCAGGTGATCCACCTGCCTTGGCCTCCCAAAGTGTTGCAATTACAGGCGTGAGCCACTGGACCCATCCCATTTTTATCAATGCACCTTCTAGAAAGCCTAAGATTACATTTGTGCCTTATGTTGTTTTTCTACCAGACAGGGCCCTACTGTCATTATCAATACATCGGACCTCCTCACCTCAATTTCATCCATTCTACTCTCTAAGCACCACCTCCTATCTTTGCATCTCACTCTTTCTATTACCCAATTCCAACAATTCTTCAACACCAACAGGACCCACGAGTCAATGATCCAACCACCTTTTCGCCGTCTCTCACTCCCCATGACTTCACTTCCTCCATATCCAGTTTACACTCCATGATCTACCATTCTAATCTCTCTCTTATACCCCTGGAATCCCTTGTATCCCTTTCTTCCCAGTCTTTCCCATTCACGAGCAGTAATTAGTATCTTTATAACTGCTAAGCCAAAAACGTGGAGTCCACTTTGACTCTTTATTCTCCATATCCAACCTGTCAGTAAATCCCAAGGGCCTTCTAGGGACCACTGCCCATCATCAGTAATACTACTACCTGATCCAAACTGCTATCCTTCCCACGGATTATTATAATAGCTTTAACCAGTTTCCCTGATTCTGTTTTGGGCCCCCTACAGTTTCTTCTCAACACAAGCAACCAAAGTGATCCTTTGAAGTCAAATTTTAGCGCAAAATGTGGCTATGGCTTCACAGTCCACTTAATAAAAGCTAAAGCCCTCCGACCAGGCACAGTGGCTCACGCCTGTAATTCCAGTACGTCGGGAGGGATCACTTGAGGTCTGGAGTTCCCGGCCAACACGGTGAAACCCCGTGTCTACTAAAAATACTAAAATTAGCCGGGCATGGTGGTATGGGTCTATAATCCCAGCTACTCGGGAAGCTGAGGCAGGAGCATCATCGCCTGAACCCGGGAGGCGGAGGTTGCAGTGAGCCGAGATCGCGCCACTGCACTAAAGCCTGGGCGACAGTGCGAGATTCTGTCTCAAAAAAAAAAAAAAAAAAAAAAGCCAAAGTCCTCAAAATGGCCTGCATGGCACTACATTCTCTGGCCCTTTATCAGCACTCTGACAGCTCTCTCCTTTGCTTATTTTGCTCCTCATTCTAGCCTCTGGATCTTTGCCCTTGCTGTTCCTTACGCTCTTCTCCCAGGGATCTGAAAGGCTCACACCCTCACCTCCTTCAGAGGTTTGCTAAAATGTCTTCTACCCAGTGAAGCCTTCCCCAACCACCACATTAAAAACACACAACCAGCACCCGTTCTCTATCTTCCTTCACTTTGCATTTGTCCATTGTGTAACATCACTTACATACCTTTAATTTTTAGTTTATTAATTCATACTGCAAAACAACTTAGTTTTTACCATGTGCCAGGCATTGTCCCTAGTTGCTGACAATACAGTTGAAAATAAAATAGACAAAAATCCCATCTTTTGAATCTTTTGAACCTTACATTGGGAGTGACAGGCAAAAACGAGGTAAATCAGTAAAATACGTGAGACAGAACGCTAAAGGAAAAAAAAGAGGAAAGGGCTGATTTTTGTGTCTTCCCTCCAGAATGCAAGCTCCTTGAGGATACAGATTTGTGTGTTTTTTACTACTGTATCTCCTGACAATAGCGCCCAGTACATAGTAGGCATTCGATCCAATTTTTAAAATGAGATACTAGGCAGTTACTCAGTTTCTGGGCACATTTCAACTTTTAGACAATAATACCGATTAAGAAAATCGGTTACAGCTAGGCTACGATTCAAGAGACAACTGTCACTCATTTTCGGGAGCAGGCCGTTCAATTCCTCAAACTCAAAATTATTTTATCGATTTCTACAGTTACCGCGGTGCACTGGCTCAAAAAAAGGGTTCATTAATTGACTGAGTGCTTTTTATTCCCAGCTAAGTCGACTAAAGATCACGGTAAGAGGCAGAGGGTCACAGTCGCACCAGCGTAACCCGTGACTGTACACGTTCCGGGCGGCCAGGAGCCAGGGCGCAGACCTCCGAGCCGGACCACCCAAGCAGCTAAGAAAAGGCAATACACTAACCTCTCCGCCGGAAGAGAATAAGGAAGCGCCAGGGACGCACGCTTCCTCTGCAGGACTGCAGGGAAAGAGCCGCAGCATCAACCTCTTACTACAGCAGCCACCCCATCTCCTGGAAGGGCGCTCCCGCCCACCCACGATACTGCGCAGGCGCACTGAACTCTGGTCCCACTTAGCGGGAAAAACTCGGACCGCGTGACTGTCTGACCACGTGATCCGCGTCGCCGCGACCTCTTCCGCTCCCTAGGCCCTGGGACCTCCCGGTCCTTACCTGCTTCCGGCTTTCGCTTGCTTCCATATCCGCTCCTCTAGTCGCCCTCCGCTGTCCCCGCCTTCGTCCCCGGAAGATTGGGTCCTCTGGCCAGCCACTGTTTGCCATTTGTACGGGCACCAAATAAAGTTTCCTTATTCAAAAGCACTTTTTTTTTTTTTTAAAAGCCATACCACCCCCATTCTCAGCTCCTCCTTCGCGGCGATAACGCCTCTGTTTCTGCGGCGGTTGAGCGCCTATCTTTGCGGCCGGGATCGCGGAACGTAATGGCTGTCGTCCCGGCGTCTCTCTCAGGACAGGACGTGGGGTTCGTCTTACTTTTCTCTTCCCCACTTTTGCTGAAAGCGGGGCCTCGTCAGGAGCCTGTGGGGACTAAGCGGAGGGCGCCCGCTCTCCGGTGGGCTGCGTTCGAGTCCCGCCGCCAGGCGCGGCTTCCCAGGACGCCTTTGCGGGTTTCGCGGACTGGCTCGGAGGCGAGGGGAGGCGGCTCCGGGGAGGGAGCCAGCCCGCGGCGGCTGTTCGTAAGGATCAGGACAGGGCTCAGCCTCGCGGTCTGTTCCTGGCGGTCACTTTTTATTTATTCACTTCAATGAACTCGCTTTGGGGGCGTTAAAATTCTCCGTAAGAGTTGGGGATCTCAGAGCTATTAAGAAACGGGTTTCTTCCTGTTGATCAAATCGTAATCTCACAGTAAGAACTGTCTGTTTATAGTTTTGCTTTATAGTCATCACGCTACAGATTCTTGGGTAAAGTTGTGGGTGAGCGTGCAAATAAGAACATCCATTTGCATAAATTGGCCAAATTTATATTTGAAATTGGTCCTTCAAAATATTGCAAAAGACGAGAACACTTTGAGGAAAATAAACCGCAGAAAATAGGTTGAGGCCAAGAAAGTGGCGCCAATGGCGCAAAATTGAAACAGGCACTGTTTCAGGTCCTGCAAGTATAGAGTGTCTCCTTCAATTTTGCGCCCTAGGGCTTCTGGCCTCGCTGGAGTCCTGGCCAGAGACTTTGCTCCAGAGGGGGAAACAGTAATACTTTCCAATTAAAGTAAAATCTCAAAAAAGGACTTACTGTACCTTCCGCCTGCGAAAATTCAAGTGGCAGTTGATTTAATGTTCCTACTCACTCTGAGGTATTAATGTTCTTTCATTAATGATTTTTAAAAATTAAATTCTGGTCAACGTAGTTATTATACACATTAAAACCTAGTCACTGTTTTGGGTGGTACTGGAAGCACCGCAGAGGAAGAAAGTGTTTCCAGTTTTTTTCTTAAGGTTCTATAGCTATCATTTGAGGAAACCTTTTGAAGAAATACCCGAGTTACAACCTAATCATTTAACGATTGTCTCTTGTGATCCGAAGATAAAAACACTGGTCAGCTAAACTCTGTGCTCTGTGTTTAAACCTGCACGGAGTTTCACCACCAAATAAAGCTTTGTTTCTACCTGAATCATGTATTTCCTTAAAATGATATAACCTGATAATCTGTAAATCTTGGTTTTTTGTATGAATAAAATCAAGAATATCTTTAATTTTTTAATGCGGGTATAAGTTTTTCTTCATCTCCAGCTTGCTTCATTTTTGGACACTTCTATAAAATCTCTAATTTTTTGACTGGGAGAAACACAGTAGCATGCCTTCATTTGCTTAGGGGCAGAATAGGATGGAAGGAGTCTATTGTGCAGATAGAGAAGGCAGAGAAGGGGAAAACCTTTGAAAAGAATTAAAATTGACTCAGAATACAGACAGAATCGAGAGAAACAGGCTTACAAGTACCTTTAATTATTTATGTTGTTCAAAGCGTTAGACACTTTAAAGTGGTTTCACATGCACTGCTTCTTTCACCTTTCTTAGCAGGTGACTTAGCAGATAGTAGTAGACCTGGGACAAGAGCCTGTTTGATTTCTAAGCTAATCCATTCCCTATCCTGTCACATTGCTAAGCGAGTTTCTGATTTAGGAAAATAAAAGCAATAGAATAGGAAAGATAAGAATGATTCAACAGACTCCATGGGAGAATCTGGGATTGGAGGCCCCAAGACAATTTGGCTTCCATGACATACCAGAGTAGTTTTCAGGTTTTCTTATGTCTTAATATAGTAATCACACAATACTTGTCTACCTTTTAATAGTTGTATGAAGAGTTTAATATACATGAAATGTCCCAGAAACTAAAAGCCAATCTTCTAGTGTAGATGCTACTAAGTAATATAATGCATGTGACTCTTTTTTCTAGATCATTTGCATATCTTACAATTAAAGACAGAATACCACAGATCTTAACTAAGGTTATTGATACATTGCATCGACATAAAAGTGAATTTTTTGAGAAACATGGAGAGGTAAGAATTGTTTTAATTTTTTGTTAATTTCTCAACAGAAACATAATAAATAGTTATTGAAGGCATCAATTTTCCTTTAAATGTAAAAATCAATAGATGGGCCAAGTATTTATTTGGTTTTAAGGTAATACATTGAAATGGAGATAGAACAGCCAGTCTTTAATTTAGAAAATAATTGTGTTCCAACAATTACTTCTGTCAGTTATTTAGACCTCAGAATGTATTTTCTACTATATTTAATGTTGTAATTGGTGAGTAGGCAACAGACTTGCAATTGACTTAGCCAAGTGACTAAGCGATTGAGTTGCTTATAAGAGCTTTTTAAATTTCAAGTTTAATTTGAGTTGTAGTATTTATATTACTAATTTGAGATCTTGAGTCCTGGAAGTTCAAACTGCTATGCAAAGCTCAGTGATATGAATTGTAATTGATTGACACATTGTACTGATTCAAGTTGGGACTCATTAGCATTCAGTGCAGAATAGGATGTTAGAAATCACTTTGTCCATTCAGTTAATGGATGAGGAGAAATCCGGATAACTATGTTATGTCAGATATAGGTCTTTAAACTTGTAGGTTCAGTAATCTTTCTATTACACAATAGACTGTAAAAGAGCATGCATATGCCAGTACATTTTTTTTAAGCGCTGAAAACAAAGATTTAGAGAAATGGTTGGTGATCTTTTCTCCTTGGCCAAGTTGAAATGGAGTAAGATAATACATACACAGTTTGAGTGTAATGTTCTACTTCTTTCAACTTCTTTTATATTTTTTGAAACTTGTTTGAAACTAATCCTGGCATAACACAGGGATCACCTATTGTTCCTTATTGCTAAAATCCAGCTTAATTCAGACACTGACAATTCTATTGATGAATGGTTTTAATGTTTATCACATAAACATAATTTTGATAGCTGACATACTTTTATCACACAAGTATAATTTAGCCAAATTTGGATAGTTCACTTTAGTGTTTGGTCATATACGTAAGCAAATTACCGTAGTACTTGTGTTTTTGTTGTTGTTTTGTTTTTTCGTTTTTTTTTTTTTGAGACGGAGTCTCGCTCTGTTGCCTGGGCTGAAGTGCAGTGGCCGGATCTCAGCTCACTGCAAGCTCCTCCTCCCGGGTTTACACCATTCTCCTGCCTCAGCCTCCCGAGTAGCTGGGACTACAGGTGCCCACCACCTCGCCTGGCTAACTTTTTGTATTTTTTAGTAGAGACAGGGTTTCACCGTGTTAGCCAGAATGGTTTCGATCTCCTAACCTCGTGATCCGCCCGTCTCGGCCTCCCAAAGTGCTGGGATTACAGGCTTGAGCCACCGTGCCTGGCCCTGTTTTGTTTTTTGAGACAGGATCTTGTTCTATCTACTAGGCTAGAGTGCAGTGGCGCAGTCGTGGCTCACTGCAACTTCAAACTCCTAGATGCCAGCGATTCTCCCAGCTCAGCATCCTAAAGTGCTGGTATTACAGGTGTGAGCCACTGTGCCTGGCCCCATAGTGCTTTTGTAATTTCATTTTTTTCGACCAGAGTGATCTAAAATGTAGTAATTAATGAAGTCTTAGTATATTGCTACTTGGCCTGTATGCCCGTAATCATCAGGTGACTGAAGGCAGAGTTTATTGTCTCTCCAGCCCTATCCCATTTCACACTCTACTGGACACAGAACAGGATGTAAATAAAATGTTGACACAGATAAAGTCTGCTTTTGGTAGCCTTTCTGTCCTTTTTTCATGCCTTTATTATACCTATGACCGCTCTCCTTGGGCCTCCTGTGTTCTCCTAGCTCCCTAAGCCCCCACCTATAGCAGGGCCAGGCTTACCTCCAAAGGAGCCATGCCACACAGTTTTCTGTCTTCCCCCACCTCAGCGGTCAAATGTCCTTCCCCTTAGACTACCTGGTTTGGCAGATGTGTGTCTCTTGGAGACAGGGCCAGGCTTTATTCGTCTTTCTCTGGTCCTGAGGTTAGTGTCAGGCACATACAGGGTTCAGTAAATGTTTGAGTTCAATTCAAGTAAGTGAACAAACTGGCAGTGACATCACTCTTAATCCATTAGCCTTTGTAGGTATATGTTTCTGTAAAAGGGTGTCTGATACCCTATAAAACCTCAGTTGTTGGAATTTATGGTTAAAGAATTGAAGTTTAAGACTTTAGGGTAGAGATTTGGAGGAGGGGGAGTGCCTCTCAAAACAGTCAGCCACAACTTCTTTTCTTCTATTTCTGAACCTGCAGAATCTCTAAAGCTTCAATCTTTTGTTCTAGCAGCAAAATAAATTCTACTTGGAACAAAAGAAAGAATGGAGAGATGTTTATATTGAGAAAATTACAGATCTGAAAGTAGGGACTAAATATCAACATGATAAAAATGATCTTATAAAAATACTCAGGCTTGATGTTTATTCTCTACATTTAATTATATACATGTCTTATTAGGCTTACGTTTTCTTTTTTTTAATGGGGCAGGAATCTTGCTGATGTAAAACCAGAGGTGTCAAGTCATTTTCACTTCATTCTGATCCCATTACATTTGTCCCCACTCCAATTGGCC